CCAGTGGCAAAGGGCAGGCGAGGAGTGATCATGCTGGACATCCTCAGACCCCGTATTCTACCTTACCTTACCTAATTTAGTGTGTGTATATATATTAATAAACCCATGCAGTCATTTTGCAGTAGATTGAATCCGGAATGAGGAACATCAGTTCAAGTGTTCGCATCTATTTGTATTTTATCTTGGCTAGCTATACTAGCTGCTAGCTCATCAGTTCAAAGAGGGAGGCCAAGAAAAACTTGACTCAACACGGCCGTGCTCTGCCTGGTGCACCCATGGCAGCAGACTGGTCCAGACCTCGCGTGCGCACAGATCAGCTAAAAGCATGCATCAAATTGAGCAACTGGAAAGTCTTTTTGGAGTAAAGACAATCGGATTCTTGGAAAGTCAGTCGCAACAGCGTCCGGATTGCTCTCCGGATGGACGTTGTTTGGGGGTCTAGCAAAGTACTTGTTGCACACTATCCAAAAGTGCTCAATCAACTCCACCAAGACATGCATTTTATGTCGTCCACCTTCTTCATGTTGCTGGTCATTTTCCGAACATGCTGACTCCACTGATGGCTCCTTATCCTATGCACCCTATGTTTGGTGGAGAAAAGCAAATGCCTAGGTGAGCCAATCGTCCTGCATCAGTTCTTGAAGCTTGCCTTCCCTTGAGGGTTATAATTTGAAGAAAATGTTCTGTGTATATTATTAATCTATAACTCGACTTAACAAACAACAATATAGATAAGTAAATAGATATATATATATATACAGTATATAATATGGATTTCTTCGCGCATGATTTCACACCTCACTACCGTCCTCCACCTCTGCGCCGGGTTCACCCGCCGCCCACCCACCGGAACCAGCGGCCGGAACAGCTGCCACAGGCACCACCGCTACCGCACCTCCGACGGGCCCGGCCCGTCCACCACACCGGTCCACGCGCGGTGACATCGACGGGTCGCTTCTGCTGTTTCTTTGGAGAAAGGTGAAGCTCCGTTCGTAGCTTCTTGTTCCTAGATGCCTAGTAGCGACGCCCCTTTGCTCCTAGTAGCGTCCTCTCGCCTTGCAGGTGACTTGGCAGGTTGATGACCCCAAAACGGACGGATGGTTCGAATCGCCCGTCTGGGTGTCGTTTGTCGGGTCGGTAGGGCAGGGTAGTCCAGCCAGGAGCTCCTAGTAGCGTCCTTGCTCCTAGTAGCGATGCCAGGAGCCCCTAATGGCGTCCTTGTTCTTAGTAGTAAGGCCAGGAGCCACTAGTAGCCTCGTCCTGGTATGTTTCGTTTCATATGTTTAGGGGTCCGGGGTCTGTCTGTTGTTGGTGAATGCCCGTATGCCTTGGATGGGTGATGAGGCTCTCATGAGCGAGTCATATTCATTCAATGAAAGATACGCTACTAGTAGCTTCTTGTTACTAGTAACGATGCACTTGTTACTACTAGCTTCTAGCTACTGGTAGTAATGCCCTTGTTACTAGTTGCTCTAGGAAACAAGGAAAACGCTCCGTCGGTGAGTTGTGTTCACCTTGCCTACTTCAAATGAATTAGGAATGTGCATCGTCATCATTGCATTGCCCAGCACTTTGTGAGCAGTATATAGAAAAAGATTGAAAAGGACATGCTGCGCCAACCCAAGTCTATCAAACCCTATACTGAATGGCCTTCCACTTGTCTTATTCAACCACCTGATCATGATCATGTGCTTCTGATACTGCAGATGAATGAGATGCGGCAGCAGCTTGACTTCTCGATTTCTTAGGGGCTGTCAGATTGACTCCAATGTAGCTTGACAACCGATCTGTCAAAAAGAAATTGGCCCATCCCGACAAAGCTGTTTTCAGCTGCCAATCTTTCACCGGTGAAAAATCCTTCACGCTGGACTCCCTGGCCCTGGCCCATGGCCCGCGCTCTCCGCGATACGCCGCTCTGAAGCCCCGGGCGAGCCGCCCGGGTCTCGGTGGCGCGACCGCGCGGAGGGACCGCAACATCCCTAGGCATCCACTGCCACCTTCTCCGGTTAGGTACGACTGGACCCGACCCTGGCACTATGTGTCTCCAATTGTCTCCAATCACATTCTCGGGTATGTGGATCCCTAGGGATAGTCCACCAAAGTCATGGAATCATGGACTCATGGACCACTTAATTACACTCCCTGGAACTAACACGGTTCTGTGATGTTACGTGATGTTACGCATTTCCCCCGAACAAAGACCATGAAATCCTCTACAAAGAGTGGGTGCATTGAATAGCCATCCACTTCCGTTGTTCAGAGAGAAAACGAGGTCCCCTTCACTTCACTTGACCACAGCAAACATCACGCAGCGAACATCACGTGATGGACTTCAAGACCGGTCTGCCGCACCGAGTCGATCGAAGACCTGTCGAACATGGTGAGACATGGTGAGGGTTCCTTCAGTGACTGGTGGAGGGTTCCTTCCAGGACAGTCATGAAGAACAACTCATGATTCATGTTTTGCCAGCACAAAGAGGGGGAGATGTTTCAAGACTTGGTGGGGTTACCCCCTTGTTCCTTTGTGAAGAGTAGGTTAGGATAGGCAAACACCATGTGGTTTACCCACGGCACATGATGAAATCACTTTGTGCCCACCCAGGCCCCTGCCTGGCCATGTGCCAAAGCCAGCTCCGAAGCTCTCCTGTCATGAGGGAGAGTTGCCAACGTTCAATCCCCTAGGCTTGGACACGAAAAGAAGTATGGCTTTTCTGGCACGAACAAAGTGCAGATTCCGGAGAAACACGGACCCCCCAAGAGATGCTTAGAGTACCAGGAATGACACGAACGACCAGTACTGAGTACCTGGATCCAGCGATACGCCGTCCTGGAGCCGCTGCCGCTTGCCTGCAGGCTCCTGGCGGTCAACCGTTCACGGCCAACCGAATCAGATGATGCGCCGAGATGAACGGAGACCTGGTCCGTTCTTTTGTTTTGTAATCGATTTGGGAAAACATCAAAATTATTTTGTCATCCTTCCCCATCTAGATGTACCTTCTTGCATCACACCTCCGAGAACTTCTCAGGGTCTCTTTCGTAATCAACATCTTCATTTTTCTCACACAATAATGGTACTTGTAGATGGCAAGCCTTCAAGTGAAAGTATGATGTAACGCAAATATCCTCACATAAGAAAAACTCAAACAATAGGCACCTGGGTCTTTATGGGGATGTGTTTCCATATAGAAAAACAACACGCACCCAATGAAGTGGTTTCAAACAACCAAAGCCAGCCTGCAATGAGCTAGGGCCACAAAAAGCGGCCTATGAAGGGTCCAAACAGGGTATATACGCTGTATATTAACTATTGGTACACTCCTTGTAATTCCAGGGAGTGTGTATTATCATTTTAATACATACAATAGCATACAATAATAGTACAGCGCTTCGCGATCTGTCGAACGGAACTTCGAGTTTGGGTTCTCCAACTGCAACTTCACCTCTTGGCCAAACAGCAACACAACAGCCTCTCCAGTTGGAGGGGAATGCCAAAGCTTATGATCGTTTTTCTTGGAATAGTGGGTTGCCCCTATGCAGAGTTTGATGTGAGGGATAGGTTAGAGAGGATGTCAATATCTTGAAACGCCAAAAGCAAATGTGGAACGAAGTATCGATGGTCGAGATCCTCTCTTGTGGACCTCTTGGAACATCTAGTCCAGGCAAAAGCACTCTGGAACATGTTCAGATTCTTGATTCACATCACTACACCCATTGGAGAGCGATCATTTTCAGTGATGTTGAAGTGGGTCATTGTTTTGTCCCCAAACCTGGGTTCACATGATCAAGCTATCGACTGACCCAAACGTTTTGACCCGAATTGTTACACACTCACCATGAAGAAAAAGGTATATAGACTCCCAAATAGATAGATTACAGTATGATCGATTATGATAGATCCCCACTCAAACAGCCTTGGACACCCCGTGCCATCCGAACCGAATTCTCCACCTCATCTTCCCATCACCGACACCTCGGCCCAAACCTCCAGCCGCACCTCGACACCTGGGAGTTGACCCGGCCATCCTTGCATGGCGCCTGGGGACTCGAGCACGGGACTCGAGCACGGCTCACTCACGAGCTGGGAGCCGGAGCGGATCACCGGGTGATCCGACGAATGCCTATACTCCTGGTGGATCCACAGATATACCGAAGCGAAGGCGAGAGACTATTGATGTAGGTGCCAGGCCCAGTCGTACCTTCGAAGGTATGTGGATCTTGGGGTCGATTGAGATTTTCCAAGACTCAGGTCATAATACAGTTACAACATCCTGGTGACCACACAAGGAACATCAAGGAACCATGGCATGGTGTAAGGTTTGAAGCGTAACATACCAAGGTTCCTTGTGTGCTGGTCGAAGCCACAGGGAATGGCTGATTTGTCGCTGACTGAGCATTTGAGAGGGTCAAAGGGTTTGGAGCAGTAGGGACAACTTGACGTTAAGCCATTGTGGCAAGGCCACTCCCTCCCCCCCAAAAAGAAAATAGAAACAAATCACGTCCCACATGATCATACTATATCATACTGATGCGCTTCTCTGGTCACTTTACTACTAGGGCTTCCAAAAAAGAATTACTCCCACTCTTCCACTCTAAGGCCCCTGACATGAGAAGCGCGCGACCGACCAACTCCAGGACGACCGTCGGTGCCGCTGCGCTTAGAGCCACAGCTGCGCCATGTGCTTTGTAACGGCATCCTGAAAAGCATCCCCAAACCGGTGTAGAAAAACACAAATGCATGCAAATCATACATACAGCTTGTGAATGCCCATGGTGTGATACTACATTCATGATGTAACTATCCATGAAAATGCCATAAAATAGAAAACGCTAGTCCATGTGAGGTTCACTTTGTTCTACTTACTAGCTCGACTTGAAGAGTTTTCTATTTCAGGTGGTCTGCACACGCTACTTATGAAAAGAACACTCCAGTAGATCTCTCGCGGGAATCAAAGCCCACACCAAATCCAACCGCCACAGCAATCAACATTTGCAGGGCCCACAAAGCAGCGAGTTGTAGCCTGAGTGCCGGAGCATTCGTTGGCAGTAATCCGTTCCTCCATGCATCGCAGAAGAACCACCACCAGCTACATTGGGCTTAAACGCAATATAATCATCTGGTATGGTTTTCTGATGCCTGAGATGTATAGCTAGTGTATGGTTTGAAACCGACTTTTAACAAACTGGAAGGACTGACCCCAGGCATGTTGAGTGGCAGGTCTGGTAAATATCCTCATTTGCTATCTGCTATTGATGAACAAACTTCAGCCATGCCATGCGAGCCATGTGGCAGGATGTCTTCCTGAGACAGAACAAGATTAATGTGGAGGCAACACTGCGCGGCCTCACTCGTGAAGTAGGTACTGTATGTCAACAGAAAGGACTATATGAATTTGAAGTGTATAGCAAAACTCACAACATGTTGACGGCTCTGCTTATTGGGTTGTTTTCCAAAAGACTAGGTCCAGGGGCTTCAAGAAGCCTATTCAATGAAGCGCCAAATGATGCCACATGCTTTTACTAAGCTGGGAAGTTGCCAGGTTATGCCAGGTTCAGGTTGCTAGGAGGTTGCAGCGTCTGAAGGCCAAAGTCTACTTCCAAGTTGGTGATAGGTCCCGGCACCTGGTTGACTTGGCTTGGTTGCCTGCCTGCCAATATTGTTGCATTGCCCGTTGTCAAGTCGTTCCTCAAAAGCCAGGCAAGGTGCAACAAGAATCGTACAGTACATATCGGCTTTGCAACCCTTGAGACCCCATACTGGCGACAGACCCTGCAAATCGTGGTTTATCTCCTCCCCAGTTGAGGTATCCAAAGGATCAACGTCGTCACACTGCACACAGCGACGGAGCCATGCTCAGGAACTTCCACAGCCAAACAAGGAACATTGCACATCCGCAGCCATCTGCTTCGAGTTCATCGTCTCGAGCCAATGGACGCTGGACCTTCGAGTGTTTTTGTTCACACATCACAGCCCAAGCAAGTGGCTCTGGACAGCATAATTACAGAGCGTCAAAGAGGGTCATGCTTGTCTTATGATAAATAGATAGATAGATAGATAGATAGATAAATAATTAGCGCAATAGTTTCTAGATCTCTTGCCGAAGGACAACAATCAGGCCTGTTAGGTCTGTTATTCATGGAGGATACCTTGCACTGTGCTCAACATCATTGCTGGAATTGTCACCTAGATGACACCTAGCGTGGGAGGTTGAGATGTGAAACAACATGTGAAACGTGCATGTGTTTAGAAAAAACAAAGACACGTGTTGCAACCACCGTCGGTATGTGTTCCTGATCATTTTGCTCTGCGAAGAACGCCGCTGCCTCCAATCGCCAGCCCGCGCGAAGCCACGCACCAAAGGCCTGGTAAGAGTGTTGGTAGATATCATAACCACATATAGCGATATAACTAACGACACAATATATTAAGTTATATATATATATATATGATATGTACATATATTATATACAAAATTGTTAATTGTATTAATTTAATGTAATTGAATATAATTCATTACCCCCCCTATAATCTAACCTGGAACCTCAGAATTGACCTGTGGAAGACCCTCTTCCTCTACAACCCAATGGTTCAGGGGGTTCCATGTGGTCCGAATAGCAGGGGAAGAACGTCACACTCAGTCTTGAGTCTTGAGGGTCTTGGGGGAAGGCGCCTTCTTGACGGCTGTGGAACATGGCTTCTGGGCTCCGGCCCTATCCTACAACATCCCACAATCCCGAAGCCAAACACAGGTCGACTAGGAAGATTGGCTTCTCCCATAGGTTCATCTTCCGAAAAAGAAAGAGCTACGTACAACTGATGCCGGAAAAAACACTTGCAACCTCAACGACCCTGGACCCCAAAAAGAATCATGGATCACATCATACCACTCCATAAATAAACTAGTTAGTGGTTCTGCACCTGTCAATCCCTTTAAGACTTAGAAAAGGGCTTTGAGGGAACCACAAATTCACCTTCACACCCGAACCTCTTTATTCACAGCAAACACTCCTGCACGCGGTGTGAATTCAGTGCATGGACCTGTAGGACTCGCTCGTGGGCTGCAAGGCCTGCCAGGCGGACCCTGCAATGCCCTGCAGGCTCTGGCCGGAATAGGATACCCCTCGCAACATACCCCCTGAGTCGAAATAGGATATGAGTCGATCCTTGGACCCTGCAATACAATACCCGGACCAAAGAAGTGTGCTGTATTAGGCCAGAACAAACAGGCTTGGATCACCAGCTTTGACCAATAGAAGGCCATCCATGACGGCAGGAAGTTGGCTAAAACGGACCTAACCAAGGATCGAATGGTGGTGGGTATCGAAACTTGTTGGTGTTGGCCGTGAAGGTGATGGGCCATCGGCGATCACCCAAAGATCCTGCTGTATGGAGCTATATGGAGATGCAAGGAGAATGTACATCATCGTAATAAGCGGGAGATTCTGCCTCCACCCTGAGCCCCATGGATGATCCATGGGCCTCTAAGCGTTCCAGTAGGATTCCAGTCACTGGGACAATTTGATTCCAGTCACGCCTCTTACTTGGCCTCACGTTCAAGCACGTTCGATGGACACAGATCGGACCCCTTTCGACCTGCCTTTGCGATCATATCTTCAAAACACCTGGTCAGCATGGCAAGGAGAAGGAAGCTGCTTGATGAAGCTCTCACAGAGGTCCGAATGCTTGACTCCTAAGTTATCCTATGCAACGCTTGAGGTGTGTGTTCAATGACACATGTTTCCTGTGGAACTTGGCAGGTCTGGTCTTATCCTTCACAATTGGCAAGCCCTTCCGTCTTGACAACGGGGGACCGCACCCGCCAAAGAGTCAGGCAAACACATGTAACAATCACAGTACGAACAAATTGATTTTGGGGTCCCTCATTTGGAACACCCCAGATGCTCTCTTGTCCAACGATCTCATCTAAGACAACATCGAGTTTCCCCACAGGCACCTGCAAGCAGCTTTGGCTCGCGACATCGGCAAAGACCATTTCATGGCACAGCCCTGGCCACTGCGCGAAGTCAGCCGGAGCTAGAGTCTGAAGTCAGCCGCCAACGAACATCTCGGGATGGGCCTAAATGGACATCAGGAATAGATTGGGATTTAGGTCCAGCTGACTTGGATACTTCCACATGTTGAAAAGGACCAACCCGAAACCCAACCCCCAGCCCTCAGGCTTGATTCATTGAGTGCTGACTACAACCTGCACTACAGTGAAAGTAGTTTGCTTAGATTGCACAGCTCCCTGCCAAAGAGGGTTTCAGGCAAAATACTTGTTGAGGTTTCAGCTATCTGCTCTAAATTTAGAGCTTGGGCGTAGTTGGCATGGCCCTTTCCCCAGCCGCCCTTCAGCCTTTGGTGCGCGTACGTGTGCAGCCAGTACCTGTTGTGCATGCGGCCGCTTCGGGGAAAGTTGCTATACACTATATAGACCAACTATCTTATATATATATATATAAGTCTAAGAAGTGTATTGCATGGTGTTTACTTTCACATCCATTTCCTATATGTTTCACATGTAGAATGAGACACTCGAGAGATCCAGCTTGTGCATGCTGGCGGTGTGAGAGCCAGCTTTCACAATCCGCCCCACAATCCCGCATCCCGAATCCCCAGGGATGCGGGATGCGCGCTCCAACACATGAGTGGATCAAACCAAGCAACTGCTGCACCTCCTATATACACCTGGAACCCAACTGAGCCCTGTTTTGATAGGAAGTTGGGCCATATTTGGGGTGGTTGGTGGTCCAAAATAGAGGTCGAGCTCAGGTTCTAGGCATCTGTATTCAATCTGTCACATGGGAAGATCCTGGTCGCACCAGTCTTCCAAGACCGTCGTACACACGTCGACGAGACCGTCGTTTCCATCGGGACGAAGCACCTTGTTGTAGCACTCCAGGTCTGGTTCCAGCTGGGCCGTTCGGGCCCGGTCCAACCAGACCTGACGGGCGGGTGCTACAGGCCGGTCCGCATGGAGCTACAGGCCGGTCCGCCGGAAGGGTCGTTGTAAGTGATGGGATCCAAATCAAGGGGTAATGTAGGCATGTATGGCATACATGGAGTGTCTGGGTTATGGTATTTGTAGGTGTAACTTTCCTTCTTCTACCACGGGTCTGTGTGGCAGCTTGCCGGAGTGCAATGGGGACTTGAACTGGCAAACCACTCGTTGGGGGGTAGTGCAAGATACCTTCTCTTGGCGGCTTGCGGACAAGTTCCTGAAAAGCATGGTTGGGTTACGTTTGGTCGTCACAAATCAAGGAGCCAGCCTCAGCGTTGGTCTTCCCCTCCGCTGCATAGTTACAAGACCTCATCAATTGGCCACCCTCCAGATTCCAACTTTGCGTCAACACCATGCAACACCTGTTCTATAACAACATACCCCTCAACGACGCAACACCAGCGACACAAGTGACTGTCTGACAGCATGTCATCCCGTTGATCCTTCCACGAAAGAACATCAGTGGATGCGACATGCTGTCATTCTCACTTTGTGCTCCCCATTGCTCATGCTTATTCCTATGCCCTATGCATCCCATGTATATAGTAATCATGGAAGTGGATGGCATAGGCATAGGGCCCCTTGAAGAGGAATTTTCCACACACAGGGCAGGTGGCGTCATCCACTTCCATGGAACATGACTGGTAGCTACTCTGAGAGCTGTATCATTCATTTCGTGCAGCTACCACCGGCGGAGGCTCCGACATCAAAGCAAAGGGCGCGAGGTCCTTTTCCTCGTCCTCCCAACGTTCGTTCGGCCGGCCCGTTCGGCGCAAAAGGCAGAATCCGCACCTGAAGGGTTTCAGACCAAAACTGCTTGGTCCAATCGTTTCCGTGTCTGACAGTGTCTGATCTGGGAGATGAAGACACAAAAGAAAACATGCAATGCAAACGTGTTCTTCTAGATCCCCACCTTCGTATTGGAAACCGTGTAAATTCTATGAGAGGAATTACTTATATGTTGTATTCCAGGACACCCTAAGGGGCTTCTGATAGCCCCTGGTTATATATTAAAGGCAGGTCTCCAGACGACCGACTCAAGAGCACTCCGGCTGACCGTGGTAAGGAATCGCCGGACAGCGGACAGGGCTCCGTCCTTGAGCATTTGCAGCCATCGCTGCACCTCGGCTTTCTGGTTGAGAATTGCCTGAGACAAAGACCGGAAGGTGAGTTGACTATCGTGTGCCAGCTGCAAAGGGCGACGAGTGGCATACGACGAGTCGCACCCGAGCCGGTCGCGCCGTGGCCGACGCCGCGTCGCTCGGGACGCCGCGGGGGGGTGGCCTTGGAGGTGCAAAGTGCTCGGTAGATGTCCTGAGGCTGTGGAGTGGAGATGGAATTTGGGGAATGTGAACTAGAACCTGCAGGTGACTTGGATTCGGGAATGATAGCTGATGGGCTAGTTAGGTGGAAGCTAGCTAAGAAGCAGCTCTAGAAGGGGCCAAGAGCCTGACAGGCCCTCTACATTGTATTGGTCGGAGGAGGTTCAGGGAGAAGACATGAAACTCACCGCCTGTCGGGGATTCCCGTGCAGTCGACCTCCTTGAGTCAAGACAATGTAACAGTCCCAAACACTCCATGTATGGCATATTTACCGGGGGCCAATGGGGCGGCATATATGCCAGTCCCATGGAGTGTCTGGGAGTTGATCAGTCGTTGGTACACATGTGACACCCTGGGGCTCCAGTCGTACCCTCGTTTCGAAGGTGGGTTCCAGGAGGGTCCAGTCACACCGAACCTGAGGAGGTACGACTGGAGCCCTAGGGACATGCAACATGTATGTTCTTGTTGATGCTGACTCGTTGTTTCGCGCAATGCATGCTGACAAGGAGCACTGCTGGGTGGAAGCCGCAGCGACACCTATAAGGCACAAACGAAGGAGGGCGCGAAGGTAAGCACAACCACCTTCCTCAATCTGTGGCTTGCCACCTTAGGCCTTGGGCACCAGAAATATCATGTTTTCTTGAAAGCACTGCTGATGGCTATATATATATATATATATTAAATGTATGGCCCTGGCCATCTTGCTAAGACTCGGACCTGTCTGATGTCATGTGAGCATGGCCGTCTTGCTTGAAGCTTGGTGGTTCGTGTTAGCATTCCACTGACAATGGTCAAAAAACATCAGAGTATCCCACGGGTCCCACACCATACATGTCTTTGCATCCCAAAAAAGAAAACGCTGTCCAACCAACCAACCAATGGCCACACATGCTCCAGCCGACCGATTTGTGCGACCCCTTACCATCATCTCGACCAACTTCTCAGCCGTGTGGGAAGCTCCATCCTCACCTCGGGTGAGCTCCATCCTTCTCGGTTTGAGGTGATCTGGTTGTGGGTCAAAAGAGAGCTCTCAGGTCAACCTACAGTGTGGACCAGCTCCAGGTGACCCATGACCCATGACCGGTCGACGAGGAATCCGGTGATCTGGGTCAGTGCACGTGGTTTTTCTGGGGTCCTCCTAGTTGAATTCGACACGGACCTTCTGGCAAACGCATGCAAACATGACAAAATGCTGCATATAAAATCATATAAATGCTTTACGCCCAGGAGTTTACACGTTCACACGGACTGTGCCAACACAACAGGTGTTTTTATCCCTTCCTTAAATTCAAGGATTTTTTTCTCGGTGTGAGATAGTGTGAGAGTTTTGTGTGGGGTGTCGCTTTTCCGTGTTCGGTTTTTCACGTGAAGATCGGCTTCGTCACGAGCCGAGCCAATCGGTCGTCACGACTCTTTCCATCACGCTCAGAGCGGCGCTGTGTAGGTTTGGCGGGACATCGGTCGGGTTGGAGAGCGAGTCGGGTCGAAGCCAGAACCCAATCGGTCGCCCCGATTGGAAAGAAAATAGTAAGAGACATGTAAGTTGTTAGCACTTAGAAATCTGAATGACTTTATATTCTTTTCTTGCTGGCAACTTGCTTTCAAGTGATTAGTGATCTTGATTAGGATATTAATGCTTGATTAGTGGAGATGTGATTAGTGTATATACAGACTCTTGATGCTCACTGGGAAGGAAGCGCCCAACCCTTCGGAAGGACTCCCCCTCCGTTCGTTCGAACAACGGGTCAGTGACCGGGTCAGTGACTGGTGCGAAATGCAACCACCCGAAACGCATGTGCAAAGGAAACGCTGCTTTTGCATCAAGGAGCAGCATTGCATGATGACGCCGCGGAAGACATTGGCCTCGCTGCACAGGCATTTGGACAAAAGGCGGACCCAACAAATTGCTGAACTCCATCCAGTCTCTATACAAATGACATGGTCAATAAAAAAGGGTCTGCAATATAGGAACCTTGCATTCTGCGAATTTCTCCAGTATCTACTGTACCTCGAGATACCCCATAGGTCACAAACCTCAAAGTTCAGAAACGGGTAGTGTGGGAGGCGATCTCCCCGAGTCCATTTTGTGGTTCCAAGCCCAAACACTCCATGGAACTGCCCCGAAATTGGAGTGCTTTCAGGGGTCAATGTAGGCATATATTCCATACATGGAGTTGCTTTCTTTCAACCAACACCGAACGGCCGGCCGCCCACCAAGCGAAGGTTGGAAACGCGCCTGCGGCTGCAAGCGCCGTCCAACAGCATCTTGCAACCACTGCGCGGCCAAGTTCGGCTGATCTGCCTAATGCGGAGATCGAGAAGCATGCCTTTGAAGCATGGGTCAAAGTGTCGGATGATTGATGATCCCTATGCAGCTCCAAATCAGCTATGGCGTACTACCCGGCATGGCCCGGCCACGGCCCTTTTCGGGAGGGTCTGAGTCGATTTTCGACCGCGTCGCTAGGTCACTGTCTATGCCTTTGAACACGGGTGATTTCCTGCGTTGAGAACGTGGCTTCGGTCGAAGTCAGCCACAACGAGTTTCTCATCTCCAGGAGGTTGGCTCCGTGGAGTCTTTGCATGCTGGTCTGGTTGAACAGCGAAAAGCACGCCGAAATCATTTTGCATGCTTTCATGTCTCCTGCACCCAGCTTTGGTAGCTGGGTCACTCAGCTGGGTCACTCTGCTTCAAGATCCACACCAGGCTGCCCAGGCTGGGCGGCTGCCCAGGCTGCCCTGTCCGTCTCCCAGGCTGCCGGGCTCTCTGCAAGCGAAGAATGGCATCCTCCACGGCTTCCACCGGCGCCAAGGACTTAGACTTGAAGGCCTTGCAGGTCAGTGCAGTGCGGTGCTGGGCCATCTGGTAGGATAGAAAGGTGGAACAAGAACTCTGAAACTGAAACGAAGAGGACACGTCTTGAACTTGTCTAAGTATGTCTAAGTATTGTCTATGGAACAAACAGGACACTTGTTGAACTTATCATAACTTATCTGATCCATCTTTTATGAAACATACGGGAACTGCTGTCGATGGAAGACTTGCGAAAGAACATTTGCAACCACAAAGTGACTTCAATGTTGCTTCCGAAACGACAGCGACAGTTAGTGGGGACGTTCCACCAGGAAGTATATCTTATTGTTGGCAGCATTGCCGAAACTACAGGACCTCCAACAAACCACAACAAGCCACAGTGGAAAGAGGAGTACATAATTTACAGTAATATATAATGAACAAAAACTAAACAGTTGTGCCTGAATCCCAGTCGCTTCAGGCTAGACCGAGAACCATCCTAGTCGTGGATGTAGTAGCTGTTGGTCTGGGAAGTCTTTCAAAGCTACCCAGCCGGGCGAGGCTCTGGTTGATTTGCTGAGTCACTGCTGAGAGAGAACCATCAGTAACAAATACAAAACAAATACATTGAAACTCAGATATATCGATTGCCTGCTGACAACCTGCACGTGTGTAAAGGTGTCTCTCGAACGTATTTCGCCCAAAGATCTGCAAATGATCTGAATTGGTAGAGAACAAAGCACCCATCAAACCAACCAGTGATCATCAGTATCAATATGTGCATATAATGTAAGTCCTTGTATAATGTCCAGGTGAAAAACCACGTGTACCATCTGTGACCCCCCAGGGTCGACCCTTGGCCTCTCGTTGAACTCAAGGCGGGCCCCGGACAGGGGACCGCCAGACCCCGGCCTGCTCCAGCCAGTGCAGCACTTGTTGCCATGGCACCTGACCTTCCCAAAGCCCTTCATGGCGCATGCGGCGGACCTCAGACTCCATGCAAAGGTGAAAAATAGACTGAGTCGGGGTAGGCAACTTGAGTCGAGAACTTCCGACACGCTGCTCTTTCTGAGAGTTTGGCTCTTGAAAGGGCTGGAAACTGCCACAAAATAGGTCTGGTTTGTTCTAAGAAACTTTTGACAATCTGACAGCCAACGAGTCAAAATACGCGGAGATCAGAACCCTCATTGGCATCCATTCACATACGACCATGGTGAAAGAAGTCAAGTCAAGCAGCTAGGGACACTCATACAGTCGCATTCATACAATGCTCCATTCAGAACGTTGTTCCAAACCACGTCTTCAAGTGCGCACCACAAGTGGAGGGCATGTGTAAGCAGCAAGAACTTCTGGCTCCAAACCGTCATTCCCAAAACACTCCGTGGGACTGGCATATATGCCGCCTCATTGACCCCCCCACCACCCCTGGCCTGATCGGTAGTCCTATGCCAGTCCCAGACAGGTCGTGTCTAGGATGTATTTCTATATATTTCTATCCTTCCACTTTGCTCCGTTCTTACGTCGTTGGACCCGCGTTTCGACCCACGCGCGTTCCGGGCCCGGCACCAAGTTCCACCACTCTTTGGGGCCTCCGATCAAAGAGTCACGATGGATGACGTGGTCCGTTCCCCAAACAGTTCCCAGACACGACCTGTCTGGGACTGGCATAGGACTACCGATCAGGCCAGGGGTAGTGCCAGGGGGGTCAATCGGGCGGCATGGCAGTCCCATGCGTCGTGCCTGGGGTCGCTTTTTCGGTTTGTCCATCCATGCAACACGACCGAAGACCGTGCTTGAAGCCCGGGATGAGTCTTTGTTGTAGCTCTTTGATGCAGCGGCAACCGGTGGATCTTTTCTTTCGAGGGAGAGCAAGGCACCCCCTGGAAGATAATAGGCCAGCCTACCTAGCCTGGGCCGATCGATGATCTTCCCATTGAACTACACACCCTAATAGGGACATGCCCTCGGGCACCCCCTGTTTGTAGAGGAACATGGTCTTCGATGGGGCCGAGCTGTTCCACTTCCGTTTCAGGGAGTGAGTGTAAAGATACTTGCGTGACTTCTCCATCAGTGAGATTGTTGGATGTCGTCGATTGTTGCCTGAGCCGAGTAGGGGCTGGCAGCTTGCCACAAATGTTTGACCAAACAAGTCGTTGTTTCCATGTGAGCAACAATGAGCAACCAAAAACCATGCAAGATTCAGGGTTCAAGTTGAAGGGGGGGAACCCTTCCCGGGTTACCAGGTTCAATGTTTCTTTTTGGAAGGATAACATGTAGTACATCGCCTCACTCTTACAATTGCTATGGGGATCCACATACTCTGGGCACCCTTGGATTTTGCTTAAGGAAGTTGGACAAAACATATTCCCTAGAAGGGGATAGGGACAATGAAAAATCACCTGGTACTTTCTGCGGCCAATCGGACTGGAACATCGCTCCCCTCTCCGTCCCGACCAAAAGTGGTACTAAAGTCGGGACATCTCTCTGAAAGTCCATCTGGGATGTCTTGGAATGAATGCACACCGTAAAAGACATGAATGGTGTTTCAACAGGTGTTTTCGTGAGGAAAGAGCTTGTTTGACCTAAGCCTAAGCTTCCTTCCTTCCTTCCTTCCTTCCTTGCTGGGCCATGGCTTCCGGTTCCTTTGAGAGCTCCAAACATCCTCGCCATCTCGCCTGCACGGCCTAGTGCCTCTCTGGGCGCCACCTGCGGCGAAAAGCACCAGACGCCACGAGCCGTCACCAGAGCTGCTCACCAGCTACCCGGCCCGAACACACCATGAAAAACCCGTCGGTCACCATTGAGTTGCATAATGACACTGCGTACTCAGGGTCTTTGGCAGGTCCTTCCAGAAAAAACACAAGGTTTCCATACAGAAGGAACAAACCCCGGCTCCAACGACAGTACAGCCAACTGAATTTCAGCAACTTTTTTCACAGTGTCCTGAAAGAAACAAGAACTGGGTTCATTCTGATGGATGATCATGGGGATCCAATTCTCTCTTTCCATCGGACCAAAAACGCTCCCGGAACGCTCGCTTGGTGACAACCAATCAGGTCACACCCGGAAACGGTTGCCCAGTTAACCCAGTTGATCAAGTAAGACTTTGTCGATCCAACATGATCCAGCTATCAAACAGAACCATCGGGCAACAGTTGGATATTGAAATCGCCCATCAAATGATATCAAATCATTTCAATCTATATCACACCTCAGTGCATCAAGTGCAACAGTCGAATCCTCCCTCCCAAGTGGTCCTCCCAAGGAGTTCCCAACAAGCAAGCTCAAACTCAAGCTCAAGCTCAAGCTCAAGCTATCTCTCTCTCTGAGCTCCAGACATCGGTACGCAGTCGATTCGGAGTTATGGCAGCATACACGTCCGCGGGCAACATGAGCTTCGAGGCTTTGGCCTTGGTCGAACGAGGACGGCCGAAGACCGGTGGTTTCGGGGGGGTGGGTCGGTTCGGTTTCTTCACACATGGTGAGAAACGAAGAACTTCGCAGAAGGGCAGAAAGACATCGAAATTCTACCCTGCCATGTTGCAGGTGTATGATTGAAGATCCCATGAGATGGTTTCAATGTTGATTGGGCCATATGGTAAGATCGCATAACAAAACCTATTCAGCAAACGTGATCTAATGGTCTCCATCACCCTGGCCGCAAGATCTCGACTCCCTAACTTTCAGGACCCACAGCTTCTCCAAATGTGCAACCCAAATACCCTCAACTATTTGGTGGGACCCTCGGTGGTTGCATTGTAGAGACTACTAGCTGAGGGTATCAACCCCTGAGGCGCCTCACATCTTTCATCCATGCCATTGCCTTCCGGGTAGGGCAAGTGTGGCACTGGGTCGGGGATATGGGTGTGTGTTTTAGCTGGGAGACCCCCAACCAATCGTTAGACAGGTCTATATTCCTTCTTCCAGAAGGTCTTTGGCAGGTCTCCCTATTTTCAATATACACCCACATAATGGCTGGCAACACTTCATCCACCAAACTTAAGGTGCTAAGTTGGGCCTATGAAAACTCTATCCTTCCAACCAGGCTGTCACTGTATTTCTTGACCTTGCAACACTGCCCTGATCAAGGTATATTGTATGTGTTCTCTGCTTTCCTTGTGTTCTCATCTTCTCACAGCTTGCGCGGACCGAAGAGACCGTCACCGTGGACCGAAGAGACCCGGTCCATTCTTTGCTACATTCTTTGCGCGAGAGGAGAACGTCAGCGAATGGTTCAGAGCTTTGGATTGTAACCACCCTGAAAAAATAACTGGGCATCACAAGGACCTGAAGAAGAAGAAGAAGTGGTTCTTTCCAGAAAGCAATCATTCAATGGACGGTCCAAAAGACTAATCAAATAAATCAATAAAATACTATAAAGTATATGAGTCTAAATATCGACAACATAATCTGGTCATACCTTACCGCTCCGGCTTCGCTTGCCCAAGACGGGCGCGGTTCCAAACCGCTCCGACGCGGAATTGATTCCGCAGCCGGGCGTTGTTTCGCCCCGCGTTTGGCCCCGGCCTCTCTCATTTGAGAATGCTTGGCGAAGGCTTGGATTAAATCACCATAGGCCGAAGCATCTGGTGCCTTGAAGGGTCGGTTGGAAGGGTCGGTGGAAGCGGTGAGATGAGAGGCTTCGCTTTCGTGTTGCCTGGTGTGTAAATAGGTTTAGGGTTCTTAATGGTCCTTATGAATCATCTTCTTTGTTACTGCTGGGGTTGGGAGTTCTTGATTACAAAGAGTTTCCACAACGTTTAGCTTATATAAGAGTCCAGGTCTCAAACATGAAACGTGTTTTGCCAGGCCTTGACCTGTCACTCATGCTAGAGACCTAGCAATGGTTGTATTACGTGAGACCTGTGACATGGTGGAACCTTCTTTCGGAACACCACCTTTCTTGAACATTTTTGAACAACACCCCCACACTCTTCATTCAAGCAGTGGACATGCCTGCCGCAGCCGCGCTGCGGTGTCGATATACCAAGCGGCCTTGCTCTTGGCAACATGTCAGGGGATATTGTGGATGGCAGCGAGCAAAAAACAAATACGTGGACGACCCATGTCTCTTCAATCTCCTGCCCCGAAAGGGCCCATAAGATACAGTGACTCTGACTTTGTTACCCGTTTAAAACTCAACTGTAGAGCAGCCTTCCAGTATGTGACCAGTTATATTATAATCACCTTGTTCATATGCCAGGTCTTGCTTAAGGTGAACATTTTCCAAAACTGTAGGTCACATCAAAAAAACAACTATTTTCACCATGGTTTGGGATCTTCTATCTGACCCACACCTGCACTCATAATATGCTTGATGGCTACAAACAATCCTGAACCACATCACATACCCGGATTCATACCAATGGCACAAATCGATGGCCCAGCATACTGGAAAATCATGTTGTTCCATGTGTGTCATCTTCCCTCTTGCACGCACTTCGAAGAGTTTTACATGATGTTACCTGTATACCTGGAACCTTCCTAATTGAGCCACACTGCCAAACCATGGTCTCGAACAGGTTTTTTGCGTTTCCAGCCTGGCGCAGGCGACCCCGGGCAGCTTCCCAGCCGGCCACACCGTGCAGGGAGACTGGAGAGCCAACTTGACATTGTCCACCTTAGGACGCCCAAAGCGTTTGACGGGCATGGACACCGAAACGCGTTCGATCTGCTTGGATTCACTTTGGATTCATTATCCATGGGTCCTGAATCAAATGGGAACACGCTGGAACACGTATGAAGACGGTAACCACTGTAGATAGAAGTAGGGGATCTCAGTGTGTTGCGCATCATGCAGCAGGAGTGGGTATCAAGTATCATACATCTGTCGATGTGGCCCGAACACCCAAGTACCTGAAAGTGAGCCCTTCAAGAAGTTTGACACGATTCTACAAACATCACGTTCAGCCACGTACGACCTGGGTTGTTTTTGTTTTTCGCTTTTCCCCACCTGTCAGGAAAGGGTTGTTAGACTTTATGTCAGCTGCCTCGCTGTTCTCCTCTCCTCTCCTCCTCCTCGGCCTCCTCAACCGTGTGTGTCGGATGGCAGCCTCAACCGCCAGCTGCGGACGGCGGCCTCAGCTGCCAGCTCCGGATGGCAGTGTTCCCCGCCGGACCTCAACTGCCAGCTCGGGACGGCAGTGTTCGCCGCCGGACCTGTCAGAAAGGACGAATGTCAAAAGATATTTATACCGGAAAGAGTGTCAGAAAGAATATCAAAAGATCTGCCAGAAGGAATGTCAGAAGAGATCCCAGAAAGAGTGTCAAAAAAAAACTTCAGAAAATATGCCAGAACCAATGTCAGAAGGTATGCCAGAAGGAATGTCAGCAGATATGCCAGATAGAATGCCAGAATGAGTGTCAGAAAGAATGTTAGAATCGAAGATATGCCAGAAAGGATGTCAGAAAGAACATCAAAAGATATGCCAGAAAGAATGTCAGAAGATATGTCAGACGGAGTGGCAGAAAGAATGTCGAAAGATGTGCCAGAAATAATGTCAGAAGATATGCCAGAAAGAGTGTCAGAAGATATGCCAGAAAGACCTCAACCACCAGCTCCGGACGGCTGTATTCCCCGCCGGACCTCAACCGCCAGTTCCGGACGGCAGTGTTCCCCGCCGGACCTCAACCGCGAGTCAGAAGATATGCCAGATACAACGCCAGAAAGAATGTCAGAAAGAATTTCAAAAGATATGCCAGAAAAAATGCCGAAATAATGTTTCAATACATGCCAAAAATGTTCAAATTAAAGTGTCATGGTGGGGATCACTCGAAGTGAAGTATTTTTTCATGGAGCGGACCTAGCTTCGACATGTTGGTGAGTCTACATAGTACGGTACAAGTAAATTCAGAGTTGCTGCTGGATGCGAATTAGGGCCGTGGGGAAAAATGGTAAAATGGGTGTTCTGGTGAGTTCTTGTTCGTCAACCACCTCGTTGAAAATTTTTGCTCACTAAAGGCTCTTGTTGAGGCTTTGTCGTTATTCTCTATGGGGTTTCTGGGGAAATATTTGGTGCAAAAAATCACTCTGTTCAGTGATAATGGATGAGGTTAAGATTTGTTTAGACTTGTTGTGTTTTATGTTTCGGGTTTGGGTTTTAGGATTAGTTCATAATATGTTTAATTAAGATATTATGAACTAATCAGTGTCTCCATTGTTCATCATCTTTTCCTGTTCCATCCCAATGTTCAGATTCAATAGTTTTGATGTTATAGAACACTAAAACGATTGTATCTCTATCCATACTTCGTTGGTCAATCAAGTGCTTCAACACTGACAGCAGTGTATAATAGTTTTGTTGTAATGCTGTCTTTCCTCCTCTATGGCGTATTCTCTCACCGTTTCTTTTAACAGTAATATCTTTGTCAAAAATGTGTTCATAAATTTCTTTCATAAGGTCGCGGTTTATTTCTCCATACTCTGCGTATTGTGGTAGACAGATTTCTTGCTTCAGGAGCAGGTCATTGGATACAAAATTGTAATCAGGATATGGATTTTCCTTGATAAAGGTCATTAATCTTTCTCTAGCTCTTTGTAATTCTTCCTCACTTAATAGGCATTTTTACTCTTAATATGTATAGATATTGTTCCTTAAGTGTTTTATTTTTTTGTATATGCTCTTCTATTTCTGGTTCGTTGATGAAGTGCTCATAAAATCTGAAGAGCTCTTTGAGATATTCCCGCAAGAAGGTTTCCATAATGTCTTTGGTTTCGGAAGTAGTAATCCACTTCAAGGTTTTGAAACCACCAAACTCGTATCTTTCTCATATCTTTCATAAAAGCGATGTCGTGAAATTTGAGGATATGATAGGTACTTCTCCAATACTTCTTCACGTGTGATTTGGTTGCCAGTAGGTATATCTTATCGTGCTTGAACCTTTCCTTCAGTTCCGATGTGTCCATCAACGTGTCTATCTCCCTTCTCATCACTCTCACGTTTGTTCTGTTAGTATCACTTAAAAAGATGGATGATGGCATCTCTGTTTGGAAGAAATCTATTTGCCTTTCCACTGTTGTATGTCTGTCGTGGGCGCTTCTGATGTATTCCTTTTCCTTGAAGATTAAGTTATTACATTTGAAACAGTGGGTGTTGTAATCACATATCATATCACAAGTTCCGGCGGGGAAAGGATTGTTCAATACAACCTTGACGTTGGCACCTTCATTTTTACAACATCTACAGTTTCCATAAGTAAATAGCATCTCTTATATATATATAGGTAACTTTTCTTTAAGTAGCTTTTTGGGGCTGGTTCAGTTTTCCAGTTCAGGTTGATTTTAGTTTTCTCTTCCACTTCATCATCACTGACATCGTTTTCAAAAACATTATCATCCTTGTCTTCTCCATCTCTAAAAGTTTGTTTTCCATAAACTGGAACTTCATTTGTCTCTTCCCCGCACTTCCCACACATATTCACGAAGGTCTTTAACAAATATGTCCAGTTCGGTTCTTTCCATTCATTCAAGGACATAACTTCAGTCATTATCCGACATCCACAGTCAAATTTAGTCATCTTTACTCTCTTACTTTTAAATATCATGTTTTCTTAAGTAAATGTTGTATTACAGAAAATCTTTAAAATCTAAAACTATAATAATGGCAAGAAGATTAACGAAAGAACAGATAATAAGCAATGTCTATTACGACTTGGAAAAGGGTTTCGGGTCAATCCAAGACACCCTAAAACAAGCAAACGAACAAGACCCATCCATAACGAGGGTAGATGTGGAAACGTTGATGAAAAACAACCCAACAAACAGATTAGAGGTTATAGGGATTCAAACTCATTTGCCGCCCCGTTCTCAAGGTTTGAGTATCAAATTGACATAATGCATATGAAGCCTTTAACGAAAGTTCCGGAGGCAAAAGTACCAATGAAGAATTCCGAGCCACCCTATGCTTTAGTCGTTACAGATATATTCAGTAAGATGGGCGACGTCGTGCCTATAAAGCAGAGAGACGGAGAAACGGTCTTACAATGTCAAAGTTTCAAGACGATGGGTTTTCCAATGTCAATATAAAGCGAGAACCAGCACTACGACGCTCCCTGTGCTCAACAAAGTCCAACCAGTTTTATCGGTCTGCGCCGGAAAAGACCTTGCAGGCTGTGTTCGTGCATGACCGCTTGGAAGGACGAACCGGCCTGGCGCAAGCTGAACCTGCCTCACAAAGATGCATCTGCGGAATGTCAAAGAAAAAGGACAATACATCGGTTCAGTCAATTTGTGCCAAACTGGCTTTGGATTGAAGGATGCGTGATATGCAAAACCAAACAAGAACCACAGCGCCTAACCTCAATCAATACATGAATTTGAAGCAAACAATTCGACATCTTTGAAGAACAGCTTCGTAGAATTTGAACCTGAACCTACACATAGAAACTCTGACCACCTCAACAATTATCCCCTTCATTCAACCCAAACAATGAAGTGAAAGTTAAGACCCTAAACCACCCCGTAACAACTCCCCATCAAAACCAACGAACACACATTGAACCACACATTGAACCCCGACCCCCGAAACAAAGCAGAACAGCAACAACAATCAGCCACCTCGTTGAATTATAGCAAAGATAGTGATTTTTTGCACCACAATTTCCCCAGAAACCCCATAGAGAATAACAACATTTCAAAGGCTCAACAAACAATTTAAGAGCCAAACAAATTCAACGAGGTGGTTGATGAACAAAAACTCCCCGGAACCCCCCTTTTACCATTTTTTTGGGGGAGGGGTCTGAGGAAAAGCCTATGTACACTAAATACTAAAAAACACATGGCGAAGGAATAGTCTTGGCAAACTTCTCAAACCAACAAGAGAAGAATTCAAACCTCCAATTGACAAAGCTGCTGCTTTAACATTTGCCCAGTTTAGGCCTGGCAAAATGTTTGACAACACACACACACGTACACATAAACACACACTCACACACGCACAATTAACACCACCGATACCTGGAAAGTCCTCGTTTGGGAATTGCGCAAAACCAAGTATTGAGGCGCCCAAGTGTCACAGCCACAAAGAAACATCAATTTCCGATGGATCTGAATGGTTCTTAAACGTTTTTTTCCATACTGAATATCAGCTGCTTCATTTTCACCCCAAATGGAGTGCCTTGATGTCCAAACATGCTAGAATGAGAAACGAGACATCTCGCCTTCCGATCTAATCTATCTAACCGAGCACCAGGTCTGTACAAGCCCGACACACGATGGCACTGCCGGTGGCAGTGTATACAAAATCCTTCAACTGTACATGGGCGAGCTGGACCATCAGCCGCATGGACAAGGCAGAACAAGGTCCCAGCATGGCTGCCTTCCCGATCAGGTTTTGATCTAGATTTATAGGTTGTGAGTGTCAAAACAAAACCATTGCGTTGAAACGTAGGGAACATTGGAGCCTTGGAGGATTCGAGGATTGAGAATCGAGACTTCCACACTGGTCACTCTGGTTCACTCGTTCATAATGTTGCTGTTGTCACCATTTCAGGATCCGCTCTGGCACACAAGATCTGGACACCAGGGCCAGTTAGCAACAGTGAGTTGTCTGTGACCGTCCATTGGCGAATACTCTTCAATGCAGCAGCCAGTCGATGTTCAAGCTCCTGACGTGCTGTGGTGTGAAGCCTTCACTTCTACGTGCCACGTAACCGCAAGTAAGGGTCTGGCAACGGCTTTGGCTTGCCTCAAATGAAGGACCTTGAACCAATTTTATGAGGGTGTTTCATGTCCTGTTCCTGCTACGTTCTGAGACAAAGCTATGTGTGTGCATGGCCAAGACCGCATATTATGCAGGGAAAGGGGTGCAGCTGATGATAATCCTCGTTCTGTAAGGTTTCCTTTTCTGTCACCCAAAAAGAGATCATCCTCGAGTGCGCGGAAGGTCATCAAAATATGGTCGACTCATCTCAGTGGCGGAATCTCTCCGTGAATCTCCGACACTGCTAGGTTGAGTGCCTTGAATCCGTTGATCATTCCAGCCCCAAGGTTATATATACATATATATACGGTAGCACTCCCGTGGGTGTGCCACAGTCCCTACCCTAAGCAAGGTGCCTCAGAATCTTTACGAAACCTTTTTTGGAGGCAGGCCTCAAATCATTAAATCGATTCTTGACTGGGACCAAAATTTTTGCCCTAAAACCGATTTGAATCTGGTCTGAGCTTCCATCAAATCCTCAGGGCCTGCCATCATCGTTGAGCTGTACCCCTCAATGGTCAGGTGGTCAGGCGCTCAGTCTCCTCGCTGCCCTGAAAGCGAAGGAGGTTGACCACCTCGACCGACGGCCGTGTCTGGCCTCGTTACTCAAAGGTCAAGCCTTTCTTTCCGGGTTTCATGGACGAATTAAATCTGGAAGCCTTATGCTCGTGAAGCGATTGCTTTTGGAGAACTGAGCCTACCATCCAGCTAGAAGCTGCGGGAGAAGATCCAGTAGCTTTTCAACTATTGGTCAAGACGAGTTCAGGAACCATCAGGAAACCACACCCAATTTAAAAAACAAAGGAACCTAAATCAGACGTCTTGGCCGCGGAACAACACAAGTCACACAAGTGGCTAGTCTGAAGGTCTTTTCAACTTTGTTTTTGGTATTGTGATGTCATGATGCTCGGTGCTTGTTGTTTGTGTTTTACAATCAAAACAGGAAAAGAACACTACAACAGAACATAAAAGGGATAACAAAAAATACATTGGGAGAATCAGAAAGAACGGGACGGATGATGAAGGATGCTTAAAGGGATACATCGAACAGGTGCACATGTGTATATATAGACATATGCTTGCACACATACATAAACAGCCAATTCATAATTATAGTGTCGGAATAACCAGCCTTAACCAAGGTGTCAAACAGGAATCCAATGAAGTCAAACACCCTGAATCAATGGATTCAATCTCCTGTTTTGTTTCTCTTTCTTTCTGAGCTACTTTCAGCACCAAGCCGATCTCCTTCTCTTCTCGGACCGTCAATAAACATCGTATCTTCAAGGGAACTTCCAGAAGTTCAGGGTACAAGACCTGCTCCAGCTTCCATTGGCCGCTCTTACCGTCGGCAATTTGCCGAGTCTGGCTCGTTGGTGCTTCCTGGAGAACACAGAAGTGATCACGAAACACAGAACCAATCCAGGTATAAATAAACCACCCCTTCTGCATGTACACCAAAGGACATCATGTTGGTTGCACAACCACACCACGATTGGCTTGCGTGTCTGCTTTGACAGCAAATCGATGTGAATTCCCTTTATGAAATCCTCTCCGACCTCTCCAAACAAAACTTTTGGGACATGTATGGGAAATGTCATTTCAGTCCAGCTCTCGTTTCTCGTCTGTTTCGGGACAGTCCTTGAAGTCAATACTGAAAAGATCTCCCTCATCTTTCGCTTGCACTACAGGGTATATCGTGGACTCTGTCGAGGTTTCAAAGGCAGTACCTGTCGCCGTTTCTGTCGTGGTGTGTCAGAGCTAGACAACCGGCTGGTTGGTCAGAAGAGGAAACTCGACGTGTGGCTTGGAGGTTGGATAGAATCCACAGAATTTGGGGATGAACACTGTTCACCCGGGATCTGTGTGTGAAAGCCCAAAATGGGACTGCAACGGGGAAAAAAAAAGGGGAGAACGAGACATAGTACTGTTACATAGTGATTGTTTGATTGGTCTGGCAGATCCTCGGCCGGGCCTAGACACCTCGCATTGTGATAGAGGATCATCCTCAACCGCGCTCCGTCTCGCTGGATCAATACACCAATCACATCACCTTGGTGGACTTCATCGCCAAAGTTCGTTCTCAAAGCTGCACTGCCATCCGATAAGTTGCCAGGACCACCATAGAATAGGCCTTTGCACTTGTATCCTTCAAGAACTTCCAAAGCACTTCTTTGACATTCTTTCACTACAAATCTGGTCAAACTAAATACCAATCACACCCAAACAAACGGTCCAAGCTGAGAGTTCTGCAAAAGAGACCCCCGCCAAACAGTGTGGCTCGACCGTGCCAAACACCCCGACCCGTCCTGGCGCCAAACCCGCTTCGGTGGCAATGCCCACGAAGGGTGCTCCAGAAAACTCCTGCGCGCGAGTCCCGTGGATTCCAGGCCACCACCCGCGCGAGTCCCGTGGACGAACCGGTGCGAGTCCTCCGTTGTCCGCTTTTCCGCTTTTCGGATGGTTGCTAAGTGAATTGTCGGTATCAACTTCCGGTATTCGGCGCTGATCCTTGCTTCTCAAGATCTTGGATCTGCAAAACATCTGCAAATCCTGAAGCATTCCCAGGGCAGCTAGGAAACTAGCAATCCCTCTCAAAGAACGTACCCTGTGCTGGCCACCCCGCGGCATACTTGCCTGAGGACACCCAACCAAAGCAACTTTGTGGTAATACGTATCAAGTTATTTGCCAGCAAAGCAAACGGACTGGACAGTATTGCGTAGTACTTCATGGTCACAACCCCACGTCCCCTCCCAAAAGCTAAGTGTATTGTGATTCAAGAGAAATGCCACCACGGACCACCCGTGCTCTCTTCACCTCTCCCTCCATACCCCAGACCCATCCTTGCAGGTGACCTCGAAATAGGACGCCGACTCCAGTGGAACAGCGAACAACGCGTTCACCGGTCCACGCGGAGGACGGACAGGGGCTGAGACATGTCGAACTGGCCGAACGCGGAAGGAGCTACCCAAGTCTTCGATGGAATTGGAGCCGTCATCTCCTGGGTGGCGTTTTTCGGAATGTCTTTTAAGATGTGGCCCCCAAGTGCACTCACTAGATTTCACAACTGTTTAATCAAGTCTCCCAACCAAGGAGGCAACCCAGGGCAACTTAGTTTGCAGTGGTTGGGGTCTGGGTCATCTATCTGAGGCCGTCACGGGGGTTACCCTTTCGAACTACGCCATAAACGGCCAAAGGACAATCACAGGGAACACACATCGTCACGGTCGAAGTAGGCAGGCTGACATCTTTCGGTTCAAGGCACTCCAAGCTCCTTCAGGCACTCCAAGCGCAGTGGTCCTGAGGCGATTCTGGTGGCCCCAAAAGCCGCATGGCACCCTTTTCGCACTCGTGGTTTACAGCCGAATCGAACCAAGTGGTACACCCAAACTTTCGGGAGATCGATCTTTGTCTTTCTGAAAGTTTGATGTGTGTTGTTTCAGTGAGATGTTTGATTTTTGTTAGCTCCCCGATGCCGTCCATGTTCAATCGGCATGTTTCCAGTCGCAAAGAACCCGTGCGATGTCTTTGGACAAATTCATGGGCAAAGTCAATTCAGGAACTTCATCAGATGCACAGAAGATCAGGCCTCTGAGAAGATCCTGGTCAGGGTCAGTGACAAACACCACCAGCAACCAGGAGGCTTCTGAGCTGTGTACGGAACACCCCCATCCCCCGGAGGCTCGACCTAGGCACATCACCAGCCGCCGTCGGGATGAAACTGCAGGTAGCAACGACACGCAAGCGGCCAATGCTCTCAACTGTGGGAAGGTACGGGAACTGCTGGTACCTGCCAGAAAGAAAAGTGTTCTGTCTCGTGACTTCTGGTCAAACTCAGAGTTCTTCCTTCAAGACCTACACTCCAATCCACAAAAACCACTGGTGTTGCTGAACGGTTTCGGTTTGAGCATCCCTCAACTCTAAGCTCCCAAAAGCTCATGCATCTTCGACTTCGCTACATATCCAGGTCAACTTTCAAGTCTCAACGATGTGTTGGTGTCCAGTGTCGGTCATGTTCGTCGGCAACTGGGTGTCGTTCTCAGGCATGGCCATGTCTTGCTGAGCACTTAGTCTCCACGTGACCGACCATACCATGATGTTAAGTACCACTAAGTCAGTCCAATGGATGTGGTTGATACTCTAATATATGGTGTCTCAAAAAGTCGAGCCCCGATCGAATTCGGACCGAGGTCAGTTGGTTTTTCATCATGTATATGCATATGTTAATTGTTCATTATAATATGTATGCAGCATGCATGTATGTATCCCTAGAACCTGATTGACCCCTGTTTTGAAGCCAAAACATGGTCTTTTCCTATCAAAACAGAGGTCGAATGGGTTCTAGGTCTATATATAGTATCCTGCCGGGTTCACTTGAGACACTGAGTTATTGAAAACGCATTGCGGCGTTTGGCCGCCTTCTTCTGCCCGAGACTTGACTAGCCATCTTGACTCCCCCTTGAGATACACAGCAAGATCTGCATGACGATAAGAGATGGTGAGCAAGAGATGGTGAGTACGCAAATTAAATATGCGACGAACCCTCGGAAAACATAGAACAGTGTTGCATCAAAAAAACAAACAAAACGAGCGCGCTGAGGACGCGTCATCTCAGTTTCCAAAAAGCTGTGCAGTTGCGCCTCTCAGGTAGGCCACACCTCTTCTGACGCCGGACGATGGCATCGAAGCCAATGGAGGCCTTCCCACAAGCAGATCGGAAGTCATCAAACGTTGGATAGACATGGATAGCCTGGATAGCCTTAGGGAGGCTAGACTAGATAACTAGCGGTCATGGATGGTCAGGGTAGTCTCGATAGCTCCTGGGCTCCCTCTTTAACATAGACCCACCAATGTCTTGACGGTTTGCTCGCAAAGTCGATAACTAGGAGCAGAGTAAGCTTTTGCTGCCGACCCAAAGAAGCATTCTGTATCACCGTTGGAAAACACTTGGGATAAGTCTAATCTTTGGACTTTGAGGGGCTTTGAAGTTTGTGGTTGTTTGTTTCAAGTGCTAAACTATCTCTGAAGGGCTGCGATCACAGTGGGATTTGCTGGGGCACGGCACGTGAACCTTTAATCGGAAATGGCAAGAAAGAGCCACAGAAGCGAGTCATGCTTGTGGAGCCCAATGGTGTGTCCCGATCTCCAATCCCACCCCGATCTCCTGCTGGCGGAGATCATCTGCATGACGTGTGCGGCGCGGTCGGGACGTCAGATCACGCGGTCGCCGGTCGGAGGTTTGGACGGCTTTGAGGTGACACAACTGCGGTGCGGCTACGTCGGGAGGCGGACGAAGTCAAAGAAGATGGTGTGAAGCAAGTGAACGCTGGGTTAGACTATTCCAAAAGTACTTTCAAACGGCATGGGTTGGACTATTTCACACAATCAAGGTGGGGGATGGTGTGGGTCCAGTGTGGGTATTGTGGGTGAAAAGCCTGTTGCCTCTCAGAATGTTTAAAGGACCAATCACCCAATCTCTGGTCACCGAGTTCTTGAATCTTCAATCTTGATCCACGCCTGCCTGTATAATATATAATATAGGCCAATGTATTCAGAAAGGATTACACTTCCGTTGCAGCTCAAGAGAAGGATGTGTCCAGTTTTCATAAGGTGTTATGATACAATGCTCCTGTTGGCAACATCTGAGACTAAAAATACCTGATCAGGTGTCCAACTCGCTTACTTTCAAGATGCTACCTGCTAGCTCTTGAGCTTGGCCGTAAGGTACCACACTTTGGGGCCAGATTTGGCCTCTCCATTCGGTCCACCATAGACCAGGCATCACCAAAACACAAGTCCTGGATCTCCTGTCAACACCAGTGCCCGGCAACATATCACATATAACATGGAACCTGATGGAATCAAGAGAGGGTCTTAAGACGTCAGACTCAAAAGTTCGGAAGACGTCAGACCCGTATGGTCTTCAAAAGGGTCTTCTGTTCAGAAGTTTCTAACATGGAACCTGATTAAATCGGTCTTCGGAAGAAGAAGTTTCCTCTAAAACCGTCCGGCTTCGTGGTTTTCAGCTTCGGACCTGACGTCTTCCCTTCGGACCCGTTGACGTTTCCTCGGCGTCCGGACCGCGCGGACCGCGGCTCACGAACACGGCCAGCAGCGCGGTCGCGGTGTAACTCACCGCCTGGGAGCCCTGCGGTGTTGGAGCATCCATTTGGGTGTTGGAAGTTCTTGGGAAAACGATCGGGGAAACATCGGATTTCTTCACGTTCGTGTTTCCCTGTTGTTGTTGTTGTTGTTGGTAGAGACAAAAACTGCTGCCCAACATAGTTGTCACATGTTGCTAGTCAGGGATTTCAAAGGGACACTGTTAGGGATAGGGTCGAAGGTTTGGAGAGATGTTAGTCGTTGTGGTACTCAAGTCTTGGTTGGTCTGGAGGGGGCGGGTGGTCAAAAAACAACAACGGGGCTGCAGATTTTGTCTCTAGGATGTGGTAGAGGTTCTAAGTAGAAGTTTTACAGAGGCTTAGCTGACCAGACTACCACTACTACTACTACTACTACTACTACTACTACTACTACTACTACTACCACTACCACTACCACTACCACTACCACTACCACTACCACTAC